ACTGGCCTCTGCCAGTTGATTCAGGCTCCCAGGGTTTGGGCTAAGAGACTGATTAATTGTGGTTTATACGTTCAGGCTTGCCTCTGTGAAGTGCGAGGGTCCCAGAGCTTGGGCTGCAGTTCAAAACCTGAATGCCTACACTGCAATTAAACCCCTTAGCAGGATCCCTGGGCGCCCGAGTCGGCTGGCATGGGCCAGCAGCGTATTTTTAATTGCAGTGTAGCTATACCCTTTGTGGAATAATGTCCCTAATCCTGTATGCTACACAAGCTTATTTTTTTTCTTATTTCCTCTCCCACAATAACCCACATTCCTGTCCAAAACATACAGCATCATAATTACAAACAGCAACATAGAGATTAAATCCTTTCCCATTAAAGTGAATGGGATTTTTGCAGTTTACTTCAATGGGGCCAGCATTTCACGCATAATGTGTACAATGGGAAAACAAGCAATCTCTTAGCACTTCCTGAAGCCTTACTTCTCTGTGCCTAATATCATGTCTCTGTGCCATGTCATATTTAGTTTTCCATACTGCGAATAGCACATACTGTTTAGTGTTATGTACATAATAGATTGCAAGCTCCTGAGAAGCAGAGTTGCTTGATTCTTTCTGTAAAGCATTTTAGCCATATGTTGTGAATTTTATAAAGATACTAAATTATTGTGCTGTATATAGCCCACATACGCCTTAAAAATATAAAACTCCACAATTTAAATGCAAAACTTTTGTAAGAGGAAAAACAAGTCCTGACTTTGGTTTTGTTCACTCAGATTGCTATATTGAAACTGCTTTAGTTATAAGAAGTAGCATTTCTGTAGAGGAATGATAATTTTCTTCAGTATGCTTTGACTTAGAAGTAATGAAAATAAGGAAAACTTTTCATAGTATCCTAACAAAGGCCCTGATTCAGTAAAGCATTTAATTACATGATGAATTTTCATCATGCGTTGAACTACTCACATGCTTGAAGTTAAGCATGTGCTTATGTAACACTGACAGACCCTGGTCGTCGTCAGGTGGGATCCAACCTGGGACCTCTGGAGCTAAATGCATGAGCCTCTACTGCAGGGATTGGCAACCTCTGGCACACAGCCTGCCAGGGTAAGCCACCTGGCGGGCCAGGCCAGTTTGTTTACCTGCCGCATCCGCAGATTCGGCCGATCACGGCTCCCACTGTCCGCAGTTTGCCACTCCAGGCCAACGGGGGATGTGGAAGTGCTGGGGCCGAGGGATGTGCTGGCCAGCGCTTCCTGCAGCCCCCATTGGCCTGGAATGGTGAACCGCGACCAGTGGGAGCTGCGATCAACTGAACCTGCGGATGTGGCAGGTAAACAAACTGGCCCGGCCCGCCAGGGGGCTTATCCTGGTGGGTCGCGGACCAAAGGTTGCCGATCCCTGCTCTACTGCCTGAGCTAAAAGCCATGTGGCCCTTAGCTAAGGCTGTAAAGCAGACTCATTAATCTCTAAGTGGTCTTGGTGCCACTAGAGGGGACAGAGCACCACACCCAGGAGCTACGTGGGTTACACTTACATGCTGTGCTGAATTAGGGCTCCAGGGAGGATGTCTAATTTCGTTCATACACTAAAATTATTATGTAACACTTGTAAAGACCAAAGAAAATATTCAACTACTTGAATTGGCAAGTAGTTGGATTGCAGATTAGTAACAAAATTACAAATGTAATAATAGTTTTTAGATCCTTTTAAAAATTAAGATTTAAATTTAAGATCCATTTAAGATCCTTTTAAAAAATACATTAAAACTAAATTTTTCTTGGAGAAAGTTTTGACTCACTTTGTCTGGCTCTCATATCAAAGGTACTGCATAGAAAAAAGAGGTTCACTGTTGTAAAGCATTTGCCATAAATTGTTTGGAAATAAATATAATTAAGTGATTGTAACCATATAATCCTGACACAGGGAAGAAAGGTAAGCAGCAGGATACTGATCACACAAGTCAGGGTAGGAAAGCTATACCTAGAGAGAGAGAGAGCAGGGTTCTCACCGCTCCATGAAGCTTGAATTGATCAGGGGTCCCAGGTGGTGATGGAGCTGAGGGTCCGGAGTGCTGGAGTCGGGCAGAACCCCAGCACGATCAGTCAGGAGAAGATGAAGTCCCAATGAAACTGATGCAGATTTTGGATCCAGGCATCAGAACACTTACTTGCGTATGGATAGGAGTTTTTGTAGAGAAACAACAATGGTTCAAGGGAGAACACTAGATTTGTTTATGTGTAAACAAGGGAGTATACCAAAGTTGTTTTGTTCAGGCTAGTCCATGGGATCTGATCATTCCTTGCTTTGGGCCATGTTCCTTGAAGGGAGCTCACAATGCAATTAGGGAGCTTCACTATTTTGGATACCAATAAAGGATTTATTACTAGAATTGGTCTGATAACAACTGAGCTGGGTGTGTGCAGGCGTGGGTTCATTAACATGTGGACCAGAGATCCCCATCATGCAGTGATTCCCTGCTTTTCTGATCCCAGAATTCCATGCGGTTCTTTCCTTGGAATCTCTGTTCTCGATTCTATATGCTAATGGAGATGCCTCCTTGTCCCATCTTTGATGCAAATGAGGCTAGGGGAGTTTCCTTAATCCTGTCATCCTTATCCTAGGGCTTTATGTGTGTCTCCCACTGCCTTTTCGTTGCTTTTTGTCAGTCTTTTTTCTGATGCAGATTTGGTTCAAGCAGAGGCTGGGGAGTGGGAAAGGTCTTTCAGGAGTCAGACAGGCTGGGTACTGTGTCTTGGTTCCCCAAGAACACAGAGCTGCTAGGTAACACATCTAATTAAGCAGCAGTGTTTGCCATTATCACTGAGCTTCATTATAGTCTATGAAAACATGCCAACGTTATGATGATGAAATCAGTATAAATGCTTAAATCAGGGATCTCAAACTCAACTCACCATGAGGGCCACATGAGGACTAGTACAATGGCCCGTGGGCCACATCACTGAAACCTTTTCATACAATGATACAAAAGTATAGTCAAAAATGAAAAAAGTGAAGAGTAATATAGTATGCTATTAAAAGTCAACGTATTAACTTTTTAAAATCTGTAATGTGAAGAGGGGTTTTAATAAAATATAAACACTCAGTAATGCACCTCACTCAAATGATACAAATGCATTTACTTTTAGAATTAGTTTGGTTAAAGCCCCCGCCCTCTGCCCCAGGCCCTGCCCCCAATTCCACCCCTTCCATGAGGCCCTGCCTCTGCCCCGCCTCGTTCCATCCCAACTTCACCCCCTCCCTGCCCCTATTCCAACCCCTTCCCCAAATCCCCGCACCAGCCCCGCCTCTTCTCTGCCTCCTCCCCTGAGCACGCCGCATCCCGCTCCTCCCTGGATAGTCCAAAGCACTGCCAAACAGCTGTTTGGCAGCGGGAAGTGCTGGGAGGTAGGCGGAGGAGCAGGGACGTGGTGCGCTTGGGACGGGAGGGGAGCTTGGCTGCTGGTGCAGTTGGTGCCTATGGTGGGCTGCAGGAAATAACTCCCTGGGCTGCATACGGCCTGTGTGCCACGTGTTTGAGACCCCTGGCTTAAACTATAGTGGAGTGCCAGCTCTGTTACAGTTTAGAGTTAAGACCAGCTTTCTATTTAAAACTGGACTCTTCTAAGTGCTCTAAAACACTCTGATGTGTCATCATGGAATTACCCCTGAGCCTGCCTAAGCCTGATGACTCATCCCTGTGCCAGCAAGTGTAATAAATCATCAGAGCCAATTACTCCAGTTCTTGTGATAGACCATTCAACCAGGGTTCAGCCAATTCACATGTGAAGGCCCAACCATGTGATCCCACTAAGGTATATAGGCTCCTAAAACAAACTGTTTCTCTAGTGTACTTAATGTTGCTATGTGGTTGGGAATGTTTCAATTGTCTAGTAGTTTTAACAGACAGCAGCTGTGCTAGCTAGTCTCTACTCCTTCCTCACCTGGCTGCTAGACAATTATGTTACAAGAATGTTAGGCTTGCAAGGACCAGTCCTCAAAAGTTAGGAATGTTAGAGTTAAGTTTGACTGTGTATGTGAAACAGTAATTTTTAGAGGTTTACAACTCAACCAAATCTGTGTGGATTTCCATGGGGACAACATATGGCACCACTTTGATCCCAGGTATACCCCCATCCAAATTTCATGTTTCTATTCCAAAGCCTGGAGGTAATAGAGCTCTTCAAATAAATGTTTAGGAAACTACTTAATGTTGGGAAAACTACTTATTTCCCTTTAACCTTCTTACTAGAAATACCTGAACTGTCTTCACTGAAGCTTCCAAAAGAATTCAACATGAAGCAGAGAGCAAAGATGGAAACTGTAGGTCTGAAAGGTTAAATTATGGAAAAGTTCCACTGAGAATAGGAGCTTAAAATGGAAAGTGTTAGGTATTCTTACCTAGAGGTATTGCTTCCAATAACATAGCATTTTAAAAAAAATTGTATTAGAATTATATTTGTTGAAACCTGGTGACATATTTCACATGACATTTTGTGTCTCAGATTTTGTTTTTCTATGTAATTTGAAAAAAAAACAACCTTTTTTTACATTAAAATGATGTGAAACTTTTTATTTGAATTTCAAAGGCACTCTTGCTCCAAATTTGCCTGTCAATTGAGGTTTGATCTCTGAAAGATAGTTTAATATGTTAATAATTCTGTAATTGTGTCAGCCTCAATCCTCTAAGGAGATACACACAAATAAAAGGGTTTGCTTACTCAGAGCTTCCTGTAAAATCTATGTATTGTGTAAAAACAGAAGAAGCGGGGGGATGGGGAGATAAACATTAATCTTTGATACTTATAATGCAAGGAACTATTCAGAAACTATGGGCCTGATCCTGTAACTAGACCCACCAGGTTGGAACTCTACACATGTGCCAACACATACAGAGAAAGTAGGATTTGAGGCCTAAAAGATTAATTTCTTAATGTTCCTGAATGTTGTTCTGATGTGCAATATTAACATTAACATGAAAAGGACCTGCTTGTTTCAACAGATACATCATCTTTGGCAATCTGGTTAAAATGGGCACAAATCCTGTTCTTGTAGTCCATGGTGGAGCTTGGGCAATACCAGATGAGTTTGCTGAAAGAAGCATCCTGGGAGTGAAAAATGCAGTTAAGAGTGGCTTTGCAGTGTTGGAAATGGGAGGAAGTTCAATGAAGGCTGTAGAAATTGCTGTGCGGGCCTTAGAAGATGATACTGTGTTTGATGCAGGTATTGTGATTTAAAAAAAAACCAAACTCTTAAATACTTTAAATCATCTTAGTTTTGATATATCCATAATGTTGCCTCAAGAGTTCTCTCCATTTTGTGTTTATCTTTTATGCTGCTTCTTAAGTGTTGTTACATCTACCCACCAAAGATCTTTATTTACACATTTCCTATGGAGCTGATTCAGTGCTGGATGATATGTTTCTTCTTTGTGCTGTTCAGTGATTGCTATTTTTTCAAAAAGTATTTACTGTTGTATGGGTGGTTGAGAGATTTATAGCTAAGGTTGGATTTTAGCAGATATCCTCTTGCTTTTTAGCAAGGGTAGTGAACAAAACTTTGAGGCTTTTTGATGTTTTCTCTGAATATTTTACAATTCAATTTCAAGGTTTAATCTGTTAAATCAGAGTTCCTAATAATATGAGTCCACAAAACAAGAAAAAATCCTATAGGTTAATAAATGTTTAAACAACTGCCATTACTGTGATGCTTCCCAGGGGTATGCAGGGTTGTGAGGCACCTTGCTACCACCTGACCTTAGCATGAGGGAGCCTTGTCTGTGGAGCCTTGCGTGGATATAAAATTTATATTTGTGGATACAAAATGGATATCTGCAGGGCTGAACCATGGGGCAAAAGCAGCAGCATGTCAGGCCACTGCTCACAGGAGCCAGCACCCAGCCAAGGCTCCTCTGACATGGTTGTACTGTCCCCAGCCCTGCCCATTGGGGCTGGCACCAAGCTCACAGGCAGCTGTCCCTGGTCATACTAGTGTGTGCAAGTGGCTCATATGCTCCCGGAGAGGAGACGTGGACTGTTGTGTGGAAGGGATTGCTGTTTGGGAGTGTGTGAGTCACTTTGTTTATAGAGAAAGCAAGTATAAGTTTATTTAATGCACAACAGAGATTCAAACTATAGCAAGCAGAAATATTGAAAACAAAGGGCTAAATATAAAATAAAAACTTAACATGCATACTAGAGCCTAAACTTAACCACCAATTCACTGCCGTTATATAGAGCAAAACCTCACCCCAAATCCGGCCAGCCAGGCTTGACTGGGATCTTCTGTTCATGAGACAAGTCGAACTGTCTTCTTGCCTCCTCAGTGGAAAGATCCAGAGTTTGTGCACTTATGCACCTCTCTGCGAGCTTGCACCCAGAGGTCCCTGGGTCCATAGATGCCGTGTTTCTAATCAGCCGGGGTGTGCTCCTCCCCCTGACCCATTTTGCTTTGGTCCCATCCCACTCCACCCCTTTGCCCCAAGGCCCCACCCCTACCCTGCTTCTTTGCACCCCTGCCCCACCCCTTCCCCTTCCCTGAGCACACTGTGCCCTCTTTCCTCCCCTCAGTGCCTCCTGATGCTGCAAAACAGCTGATCCACAGCATGAGCTTGGCGGTGGGAGGGAGGTGGAGGTGCTTATCTGTGGGGCCCACCAGTGGGCAGGAGGTGCTGAGAGGAGGGGGAGGTGCTGATGGGGGGCTGCCAGTGGATGCTCAGCACCCACCACTTTTTCCTGCGGGTGCTCCAGCCCCAGAGCACCCATGGAGTCGGTGCCTGTGCCTGGGTCCCAGTTAATTAATCTCTCTGTGAATAATGACAGCCACTTAAAAACACAAGGTACCAGGGACTGCTTCAGCTTGATGGGAAGGATGTTTTTTTTTGCTAGGGTATAGATGATGATGTGCAGTTCCATTCATGGGCTGGGTAACCTCCCACCTAGAGATCATCAACTTCAGGACATCATGGCATGGAGGGGAGGCTGGAACTGGGCCTGAACTGGGAACAGGATTTGGACAATTGCTGGTGCTGCAGTCAGACTTTGGTTGTTCTGGAACCTGCTGGCCACAAGTCCCAGCACGTGCTAAAACAGGCCCCTCTACAGCTGGTGCTCTTCTTGCTGTTGCAGGTGGTCCTGCCACTTACGGCATGAGATGCAACGCACAACCATCCTCTCCAACATGCTGTCATCTACAGCCTGATTCTTCCAATCCCATTCCAACACCTCTCTGCAGATTGAAGAGGTGGTCAGATCTCTTGATGAAATCCCCATGCATCTTCATCAACATTTATTCCTTCTACATCCAAGGTTCTGGATCCTGGTGTTGTCCTCCCAGGTGAATGCCTCGCTTGCATTGAGAATAGTATATTTTTCTGTCTGGAGGGGATAAAAGTTTTTCCTCTTTAACTTTCTGCATCACAGGCTGGGAAAAGTGACAAAGGTTTTCTCCTGGGCATTCATTCTCCTCCATCTCTGCGTTTCTCTGCCTTGAAGCTGCTTGGTCCTCAGGATCCTCCCCAACTTCGCAATGAGAAAATCTGTATTTAAACTTTTTAATTTAAAAAAGCAGTTTGAGGGCTTGGGTGTGTCAAGCAACAGCAGAATGGTACTGGTGATAGGGTTAGCCTGTGGTGGCACTGGAAGATGTGAACTTGCTTGAGATCCCTGCGTGGAAGAGAGAACACTTTTTTTCCCAAGCCTCTGGGAGAAAACCGTCCCCCTGTGTCATTGAGTTGTTCTGTTGTCTGGGGTGACTGATGGGCAGATTAATGACTGGAGGGCTTTCTCAAGGCATAGTATTGCCAGCTGGTCAAGTGTGGCGTTGCATGTGCTTCCTGCCTCAGTTTCTTCCTCCCCCAATTTTTCTTTCTCTCTCCCCGAGAGCTTCATATAGCTCATCTCTCCAGCTGGGTCACTCTCAAAATTCAGTCCCTTTTCAGGGTAACAGAAGTCCAAACAACCCAAAAGTATTCTCCTCTTCAGCCCACCTCTGGACTCCCTGTAAGTGCCTGCACTCTGGGGCAGAACACTGCCTCCCATGCTCTTTCCCTGGAGTCCCCTCATAGTCCCAGCCATTCTGGGTTGCCTTTCAGTCTCTCTGGTTCAGTTTCCCTGAGTCTCAGGCTGCTTCTCTAGAATCTTCCAGCCCCTACTTCAGGTGTCTCCCAGAGGAACCTAGCTTGCTCCCTCAAACTGAGTTTTCGTAGTCCTTTCAAAGAAATCAGCCAGCTGATCAGGACGAGCTGCGGTAGGAGAGAGTAGTTAATCCAACACAAATGTGTCTGAGCCCAGCTACCCTTAAATGACCACTCAACCTGTGACAAGCGGACGACTGAGCTACAAAAAGTGGAAGGATGAAAAAATTTCTCTGCTAAGAAACCTGATAGACCGTTTGGAGTTCCTGCTACATGAGAAGGACTTCTGCATCTTTATGAAGGGTGGACTAACATTTAGACCAATTTAGACCTAGTTCATTATCCAGTAGCTTAAAACCACCATAGATTCCATTGGAAGAACTGACATGGATCAGAGCCCTTGTGGAGATGGAGGATGCAAGGTGAGTGATCTCTGGTAAACTTATTAGGATGCAAGTAGGTTCTTTTATTATTTTTAATATGTCTTTGGAGTAAAATATGCTTGCTCAGAAGGAACCAGGTGGTAACATAACATTACATTGTGTACCATCTCTGAGGGGAGAAGCAAAATAGGCCTGCTTAGGCAGACTGTCTTTTTCTGGGAATAATACAGTGAGGGCAGGGAACTCTTCAGCCTCGAAATACACTGGTCACCAGGGAGAGAGATTCAGATCTCCACCCAAGAAAGACAACAGCTAGGAGGCCGGAAGGCTGAGAGTGCTCATTCTTTTCCCTCCCCTCTCTTTCCTCTCAGTACACATGCTCATGTTTGATTGTTGCCTCTTCAGTTTCAGCCTTGCTACCACTGCTCGACATACCTCTTGCATGGTGTCACAGTTCAGGGCAACTGCACCTGTATTTCCCCTTAGTGGTCCAGCAGGGGCAGCTGGATGTTGGACCCGTATTTCTGACAGACTTTGCAAGTGCTCTGGAACTTGATATTCCACAAGCCAGGAAACAGACCTATTCCCTAAGCCAGTGTTATTTTCTGAAGTTTGGGCTGCCCTTAAAAATGCTAATGCCAGTTTGAGAAAAAGCACGCTGCTATGTATGCCCGGTGTAACTATGCTTGTCTCTGTGTTTGCTGGCCTTGCTTGTCTTGTATTGCATAAATACCCTACCCTCCCGCATACAGTACCCTGCACGACTGTAACAGGCGGTGGTGGCCTTTTTTGTTGTCTATCTCTCTGACCATATCAACAATGTTGAGTTATTCTCTTACGCATCTGAGGCAATGGTTGTCCTTCTGGTCTGTTCCTCCATCTCCTCCCCAAAGGGATTGGGCTGGCTGTATCACAAAATGGTGAGTGTCTGCTCTGCCTTAGTCAAGATTGCTGTGGACAGCCCTAGTTTCAGCTCCTCCTCTGAATCCTCAGTACTTGGTTGCCTCTACCCCTTGCATCCTGGACACGTCAAGTGCCCAGGGTACATGGTCTCCCTGCTTTGGGCACTGCTGAGCACCCAGTGCAGCTCCTGATAGAAAAGGGGAGTTCAGGGCTGGGTGTTGTGGTTCTTTGCCTGGCAGTACGGATTCTTCAGGAATTTTAACTTCTGCTGGCGCGAAGGTCCAGTTTGGTGGATCTCTTCGTCTGACTTACTGGAGATTCAGTTATTAGTCTTGCACTCAAATACATATGTCTTTCTGGCCTCATACTACATGTTCTCAATAACTTTGATGTCTACCTCAGTCCAAGTAGAAGCATGCTGATTTGCTTTTCTGGATGTCATATGGTTTGAATAAGTGCAACAGGAGTACTATACAGATGTTACAGTTATAGAAAGTTGTGTACTAAGGTAGGGTCCAAATACCAAAGCAGGTTTTTTATACTGCCTGGAGTTGACTTTAAGCCTGGTATGATAAACATGCCAGAGAGCGTTCCTTCAAAGTAGGAGACCAGGTCATGGTCTTAAAGGCGCTCCAGGCCCATAAAATGGAAGCATCGTGGGAAGGGCCATTCATGGTCCAGGAGCGCCTGGGAGCTGTTAATTATCTCATAGCATTCCCCACCTCCAACCGGAAGCCTAAGGTGTACCATATTAATTCTCTAAAGCCCTTTATTCCAGAGAATTAAAGGTTTGTCAGTTTACA